TCAAATCAGGATTACTTCGAATTTAAGCAAGAAAATGTTGCAGATTTTCTTTTGTCATCAACATACAATTTGTTTTAAAAAAAACAATTGAATGTAAAACTTAAATCAAATTTTATGCTCAGTGAATTTCTATTAAATTCGTGATTATTTTCCGACATTTTGTATTAGGAAATGCCAATGGATGTTTATGAAAAATGAAAGGACCGAATATACCGTATAACCGTTCCACTATATTAATAATTTTTTTGGGTTTACTGAGTTTGGTAGGTATTTTCCGTTAAGTTTTTCTGTCCTAATTTTTTTATTAAAAAAAATTATTCGTTCAGGTTTCTACTACAGCAGTTTCTAGAAACAATCACGCAGAAATAACAGCATCGAAGCTTCAAAACAGTGAGTATGGTTTTAGAGCAGTAATATTACATTAATTTAATTTAAAAAAAAATGCAACGCGTTTTATATTAATATAATTATATAAATTTTGTACTAAAAAAAAAATAGGCGTCAAGTTTTTGTCGAAGAATTTAAGACAGAGGAATGACACTAAAACTTTTGCTGGTAAAAGTGAAATTTCATCTGCAAATAACGATTATGCAACTGATGAACAAAAAACTGTAGAAATCATGAATTATGCATTCGAAGATATGGATATCCAGAAAGACGGTAGCGAAAAAAATAACAACGAGGATTCTTTAGAAGAAAACGAGGATTCTTTAGAAGAAAACGATGGAGCTACTGAAACACAAGAAATGGATATATCTCAAAACAGCAATGAAAGCAATGAAACGGAGAAAGAAATTCAAGACAATTACCAAGATGATCAAGGTAGACAGTTTCAAATATTTATCATATTATGTACACATGTACTCACGCTTTTAGTTTCAATTTGTTTTCGCCTGTTCTAGTGTATTGTTACAGTACAATTACAATGAGAAATAAACTAAATATTTAAACTTTGACAATGTTACGTTTTATCTCAGTGAGGTTTTTTCAAATAGCTTATTTAACTGATTCTAAATATTTTTTGTGAAGTTTGGCTCCCCATATGGTTTTCGAGCCTCACAATTCTCCCCACGGGTGTCGTTAACCTTAATAGTGGATAATAATATCTAGTGGATTAACGAATTTTTTTTTTGTATATTATTGATTAACGATAGTAGTTGATTTTTTGTATAATCGTAGATCTTGGATGTAATAATAATTGATATTTTCAGATTCTGACAGATCGTTGAGGGTTGGTAAGTACGAGTTTTTACTATTTAACAAGTAACAAAAAAAAGTTTGATGTTATTTCTATTCATTAAAGCGCGTAAACTCAACTACCGTTTCGCGCGTAGTTGGAATAGCACCTTGGGCTACCAACGAATAGGTAGGAATAAATCGATGCCTCCAATGAACACTACTCTAACTCAAAATTTTGAAATTTTCGTTTTTCACGCAAATCGCTTCACTATTTTAAAAGTATTACAAATTATTATTGATGGGGCTCGAAGCAAGAGTAAATCAGCTAGTTACACAAGAAAAAACCATAAATATATTTGCAATAACAAAGATTTTATCAACTTTTTTCATTTAAACGCTCCTCCTGTAAAGCTACGAATTTGGAGTTCATTGGAGGAATCGAAATATCTGACTAGAGCATAGCCAGATTCTTCCGTATGTGATCACCTCGAAATTTTGTGTGCTTGAAAACTTGCTGATGCCCTGTTAAGCAATTCATCACTTATTTCTTAATACCTTGGTAAGCAGACGAGGATATAGACCGCTTGTTAAGTATGGTCATTGCCGCCAAGGACACCGGCAACGTTCGGAGTCATACTTCGGCGCTACCTACTATTTACAAGGTTATTTTAAAGTGGCGTTTTGTAAATAAGGCCAGATACGAACGTATTGTTTGCTCTGTGTTTAGGTGTTTAATATTACTTATTGAGAACTATTTACGAAACAGGTGATATATTAACTCCGAGTGAAATGTTGCCTATAACTGAAAAACTCATAAACAAAGGTAAGTTGCGGCGATATTTATTTCTGCGTTAATCCCAACCGAGATAAGCAACAAACGTTCCAAACAAAATATATTACGGGTAAGACACATAATCCTCTTGTTATTGATCACGATACTCCGATAGCTAGCTGTGCATAGTACGTATTTGTTTTCCACTATTAGAGCTTATTAATACGAGAATTATGCAGTACATTTACTAATTGGATGGATTGTTGCAGATTGTAATGTATTTGAATTCTTGTTTGGTTAAAATGTTCACATTTCCATAATTGATTGATTCATAGCTTGATTAACAAAAACAATTGCATTTTCAGTCGAAGAACCTGGACGTAAGTATTTAATTATTATTTTTTCGTGGTAATAACAGTTGATTTGAATACTATGGTATGTTACACAGCGATAGTCATGTATATTTACATACAAGAGCTGTGAAATTATCATTAAATTACGATATTACCACCTATAAAGATTCGTTTTTTTTTTTCATTTTATGTTTTAATTCCTAATATGTGGTTTTATTTTTGTATGCTTATTTTTCAGGTGGAAAGGGAATAATCAGTTCAGTGAAGAGTCCTCAAGAGTTAGCTGACAAACTTTTCGAAGCTTTTTGTATGTCGCCTAATAAGAATGGGATAAAATAACTATTTAAAAAAAAAACACTTAATTTAATACAAATGAACTTTGTTTTCTTCCAGTTTTCACACAAAAGAGGATTGTGACATTAACAGGTAAGATATATCTAAAGAAACTGAACATATATCAGAAACTCAAGTTTTCTTCTTTTTTCAGATTTCGACATCTCTGGACTAGATGCATTACAAGCTTTGGCATTAAATGGAGAAAGTAATTGTTATTTATATTTTATTTTTAATTTATTTAAGTAAGTTATTTTTAAAGCTTGCATTTAGCTATTTTACTTTTATTAAATTTAAATACTCTTGAAAAATGATTACAGAAGCAAATTTGAGATCACATACGGAATCAGTCACAGAAGCCCCTCAAAAAATATTAAATTTTAGAGGTAAATTCATCATCTATCATTTCTTGTTGCAAAACCGTCACACCGTCACTGTCATAATATTAATTTTTTTAATTTCCTGTGTTCTTTTTCAGGTCAATATATAGACATTCCGGCACCTAGAAAATGTCATTACAAACGTAACTAAGAGACTATTAATATATAATTTAAAATATCGCTCTTTTGATGTAAATATAATTAATTGTATTTTGTATATTTTTTTCAGTTATCAAAAAGCCAGTGCAACTTCAGAAGCCGCGTAAAGGTAGTAAAAGCAAACGACGGGGTGAGTCTGTATCTTGACTTTAGTATTTATTTAGAGTTTAGACGTACCATATCATTATTCTTGTTAAATATTTTTTTATGAAATGAGATATTATATTTATTAAATTTATTTTGATATTGTTTTTTTTTTCTGATCAATAAACTACAGTGTGTTTGACTAAATTATAGGTAAAAATCTAATTTACTGTTAAAAACTATAATTTTTTTAACAAAGCGTTACTATTATTATCATTGAAAAGCATATTAATGAGTAAAACATACTTTTGTAGATTTGTTAAGGCGCGTTAATAAGAAACGGCGCCTAATTATAAACGGACCGCGTCGTGGTAGTCCTAGATCACTCGAAAGATACAAGAAATTACGAAAACAAATGATCCTTGGACATAATTACACAAAAACAAAAACATCAAAGAGGAAAACGATAAAAAACCACAAGAGAGTAAATTCTACAAGTAATGTATTTTTGCTGTCTTATAATATTCATCATTATATTCACCGTAATAAAAATCCTTTTATAATCGGAAAACGTAGAATGGTAAATGTACAATATAATATAGTATAATGTAATATTATATACTACATATTTTTCAATTCAAAATGGCGGTCTGCAGTATGCAAAAGAATTAGAAATGCCAAAAATTGTTTTGTTGTCAGTGTTTTTGAATATACAATTGTTAAGAACTTAGGCATGTCCAAAGTCCGACTTAAAAGAAGGACTTTAATAGAACAAGAACATTACTACGAACGATTATAATTTAAATAACAAAACGATATTATTATATTGTTTTTAGGAAAATGGAAAACGGTTTGCCGTTGGAAATACGAGTGTAGAGATATCAGAGATTTGGATACATGTCAGGTTCAAACGCAGTGCATCAAAAACGAAGAAAATGTTTTAACAAATCGATATAGTAAGTTTTATATTTCGTAAGCAGAATTTATAAATAAAAATATGTATTAACAATTCCTTACGAAAAATAATTATACTATCCGAACTGTTTATATGTGCTATGGAATAACTACTTCGACAATATTACAAATTAAATTTAGAAGCATTGAGAAAATATTTTGCTACATTTTTGGATTAAAAAGAAATGTTCAAAAACTATACCATATTTAATTTACAGTTGAGAGTAAGCCTGAAAATGAAGAAAAAGCCGAATTAGTTGAACGCCTTAGAAAAATGCGTAAGTCAAGTTTATCCGCTGCCCTACTTCGAGTTTTAGTTGTAATAATAATAACTGGGAACACATCCTGCCCCAATTTAGAGTTCCCTGTGTTATTGCACCAGAGACTCAAATAAGTTACTTATATACGTTTAAATATATACATATACATATAGGTAATCCACACCCAGACAAAGAGCAAATAAACCTGTTTGTAACACGAATGTTAGCCCGATGTGGTAATCGAACCCAGGACCCTCGGCGCAATAGTCGGGGCCGCTAACCACTACACCACAGAGTTGTAAAAGAGAGTTCTTACAGTTGTTACAGTTGCTTTTGCTATAGATTTTGTAAGCTCTTCGTGCGTACGGCTACCTTGCTTCGAAAGGTCGCAAGCCTGACTCGCATCACTGATATCGATCTGAAATACTGTTATACTATATATAGGTATAACCCACAACGCAAAACGATAACATGGGCGGCGGCTGCGTCTACTTGCTTGTTAGTCTGCTTGAGTTAAGCTAAAGAAATAAAGATTCAAACTTTTTTGTTTTTAAAATTCGAAAAAGCTCTTATCCACCCTATGGAAAAGTTCGAAAAAAATAATTTAAGATTACATAATTTGTTTCACGACAGTGGGAATATCCGCTGTTGACGAAGACGTGGAAAAAATATGTAAGTAGTCAATTCTAAATTTTAAATCTCAATTTATTACTGTTTACTAAACTCATCATTTAAGGGAAATGTCTATGAAAAATGTTTTTAAATACTATTTTAACGCTTATATAAAAATTTTAGTGGAAAACCGCGTGCTTCATCTACGTCCTTCAAATATGAGTGAGTCTAAAGTCCGTATTGAATTGATTTCGTGACAATAAAAATTTATAATTGTTTCAAAAATGTATTACGTAATGAATTCAATTATCATTGAATCAATTTGATTACACGAGCCCAAACACATTACAATCCACATTATAATACATCATGTATGCATTTGCAGATGGAATTGACAAAATCGAAACTTTGAGTGAATATTTCCATAAAATTGTTATGGCTGAAAAAAGCGGTAAGTAAAATTTTACTTTGGAAATCAGTAAAAAACATTAGATTTCAAAAATATTGACTTCAATCGTTATTTTAGTATTAGAATAAGCTGTTTCCGTACAAGTTCCAATTTTATATATAGAATTCTCAAACGCAGCGTATTTAATAAAAAGCGTCTTTAGATAGTAGCAACAAATCCCATATTAATGATTATCGTGTGATCTATTTTAAATCAGTAGTCTTTTGCAAGCGAATGAAAGCGTGTTAAAAACCGCAAACGGGTTATCTGAAGCTATAGAGAAAACTGTGTATAGATAACCTGTAGAATAGGAATTACAGCGCATAAAATAAAATTTCTACTGTTCCAAAATCTTCTATGATAATAATAATTAAAATTTAATGAACACTTTTTAATGCCTTGCTCATTTTTTTACCGTCTGCGCCATCTTTCTTTTCTCTATTAACCTGTCTGTCATTCTCTTCTCCCTTTCTTTCCGTTTTCTCTCACTCACGTCTTAACGCTCCGTTCCACACCCCATACGTTCCGTTCTTACCAATCCTACAAACCTATTTATAATCTTAATGATTATGATGATCAAAGTCATTTCACTATTCAAAGTCATTTAAATATATAGGCAGAAAACTTCCTTCTTTTCTTTTACGTTCTGTTGGATTGTTATGTATAATATATATCTTTAAAGCTTTAAGTATTTTTTTCTAAAATTAAACTTATATCTATAAATTCGTATGTGAAGCAATGTACCTATGATTACTAAAATTATTTTGTTAACGAGTTATGTGAGCTCAATTTCAGGTTACGTTTAGTTTTGCATAAATTAATTTTAGTAAATTAAAAAGACTTAGAACACTGCCTGTACTATTTAAGTTTCATAATTTTATTATTTTATTTTTAGGAAGTACGACCCCATCCAGGTTCTTAGCCAAAAAAAATTGAACAGAAGAAATTAATCCGCCTTGGAAACAAAGACGCCACGACACGATACTACGATTATTTCTAAGAACACTAAAAATTAACATAATATTACTAAATTCTGATTTTTATTCACAACTAGCTGACCCGGCAGACTTCGTTTTGATTCAATCGATAAATAAAAGACCTAAGCTTTTGTGTAAAATAAGCTTAAAACAAACAAAAGGAATCCGTCCGACGGGGGATACATCGAAAGAAAAACCAAATTGTTATTTTTATTTAATTCCGAGCATTTTCATATTTATTCACCTTTTAAACCTTCTCTGGACTTCCACAAATAATTCAAGACTAAAATTATCCAAATCGGTCCAGCCATTCTCGAGTTTTAGCGAGACTAACGAACAGCAATTCATTTTTATATATATAGATAACTAATTAAAATACGTTTTGGTGTTTATACGCCCGATTCCTAGTGTATTTAAAATGGTATTTTAAATGGACACAGTGATTGCTGTTTTCCGAATGCGTTATGATTTTTTTTCCGGTCACCTATTTAACAATTCTATGTAATACAATTCGATTTACGCTCTAAAGGTGAGAGGTGATATGTGTTACGTGCATCGTATGCTATTGTGAAATATTGAAGCCGACTAAGACGACTTCGCTCTCCTATATTGTCTATAACCGTCCCGGAAAGGAATGACAGTGACTTCCTCCTTCAAACGATTCAAATAGATACGCATTCTTTTAACTGTGACCTTTTAAAATGGTGTTAAATCAATTCAGTTTTGATAGATTATACTAAACTAGCGCATCGGATTAATATGATTATTATTTACAAAATCAATTCTTTAATTTTCTTCCCTAAAAATTTTTCAATTTTATGTTTATATAGGGCGCTTTTTAATTTAGTTTTATTCAAAATGTATCTAAATAGGGTGTACAGATATATAAAGGCAAAGATAAAACAATTATTCGTCAATAGATTTTCTTTTTCTTTCTTTGATTAGTGACTGTTGATGGGCTTTTCTGCTTTCACTTTTTTATGTAGTACCTATATATTTATGTAGTACCTACACATGTTTTTTTTTCTTCTTAAAATGGCAACAACAAAGTAGGGAATAATAAATTAATACATAAAATGTATCCAAATCCTAAGGCGTCAGTGATTATTATATGATTGAATTATTAGGCGAACACTAGTATGTATATTTTATACGTCTTTTAATAATGTTTAAATTATGTCAGCTCAATCCATCTTTTCTTTAAAAGTGGATCCTCAAATATGCAAAAATGTTGGTGATATCGAAACATGTATGTATGTAACAATGATTTAGACATTCGTATGAGTTGCGAGAAAACTCAATCACGATCTATTACGTTCGAAACCGGCGTAAGAAACGAGTTCATCATTACGAACGCGGAAGCGATGAGAACCTCTTCTGAATTTCAAATGAATAGACATAATCCATATTTCAGTGGAGAAGGCAGCCGGAGACCGCAGTGAATCGGGGATTATGAGTTTTGCCGAAACTCAGCAGCCTCATGAAAAACTACGTTGAACAGATTGCGTTCATATTTACAATTGCACCTAAAAATGTGTGATTTTAGTGATAAAAAGTGATAATAATAACTAATAATTAAACTAAAAAGTGATAATAATAACTAATAATGTACGATTCCAACGTTTTTTTTAGTTATGGTTTAATTATTAAAAACCATAGTTGACAACTCGAAAGAGTTTTCAATTTTAAAAACAAACTTTGAATTTTGCGTTAATGATGATTGCATCCATGACGTAAGTCCGTTTAGCTAATGGAACGTTTTATACGCTTCTCTATACAACAACAGTAAGTACATGAATTTATTTAAATGTTATTCTCCATTCGAGTTCGTGAATGACATCATGTTTCACTTCGCTTTTTTGTGTTCATGATGATTTTATTGCAAGTTTTTTGACCGTTCTTTATTTAGTCGATCTCGCCAAATTTAATAATACTTCATGAAAATATTTAATTGCGAAATCATATTATGTTATTTTTTTAACAAATTAAAAAATATATATTATCATATTATTAACGTAATTAGGCGACCGATGTTAACATAACAAGATCCTGATTATTTCTCTAAAAGCAACAGCAAAAACGAGCCGACACGAAGTAATTCTATTTATTTTAATAGATCTGCGGTGTGGCAGGTGAGCACACTCAATTATATTTCGATCAGGACATCGCCGCCGGCGCGTGCTGCAGCCCTAAATGGATTATTGGTCGTGGACGGCGACGTAAGGGGAGGGCGACAACCAGAGCTGGAGGCAGAGATGGATCTAAAACCCCTCAAAGAGTTTTCGTTAACGTAATGTTAAGCATGACGTTTTTTTTTTATTTAAATTGTAATTTGTGATAGAAATACAGAACTATACATATATTGTATTATAGTGTACTTTATTATATATTTTTTAAATTATAATGTAAGATTCAGTTTGAATTCAAATTCTGACACATAATCAAGTGTTAAGAGTACTAGTGTGGGATTAGAATGCCTATTGTTAATTTAATATCTTAACCCTAAATATTTATTTTAGGTGTTTCACTATCATGATCGAGCAGATGGACTTATAGATAGCTGGGGGTTACTGGCACCTATAGGCACCACTACCATTACCATGAACTTTATATTGATGCTTAAAGTACATTGGAATAACGGTAATCCCTCATTTTAAATAAGTTTCCTTGAAGGAATAGGCACGTACGGTGGTATGAACCCTTGTGAATACAAAAGTGCCTTAGACTCTGTCACAATTTTCTGACGCTTAGCTATTCTTAGGCAAGTTCCACTGGTATAAGAATACTAGTGTACATTTCTAGCCTTAAATGATTTCGACGGCTAACCTCAAATTATAAATCCAACTTAAAAATTAATTTCAAGTCAGTATAAATTGCACATTTATAAATTAATTGAAGAAACATAAAATAAAAAGAACACACCCGTCATAACCCTGAATGAAAATTCCAATAGAAACCACCAGAAAGCAAAACCGAGCTCCGGTTCGGTGTTGTGGCTATTAAAAAATAAGTGCAATGGACCTATAGACAGCGGAGCAATCAACAACGGGCATAGCTCCCATAAAGAATCGCAACCAGAAAAGCCTTGTTGCGAATGTCGTTTGTTTTACCTACCTACAGCTAAAAAAAACACAAAAAAAAAAACAGCGAGTCAGTTTCACAGAGGCGGAAACTGATAGAAGGTGGGCAAACATTGAAATGCAACGCCGCGTTCCATTTCACGTTTAATGAAAATAAAACATTGAAAAATGTAATGACGACGAGCTTTGTTTGAAACGTCGGAAAAATGTTCATTTGCAATACTAAAGGAATTAATATTCGATAGTGGCCGCATGTCATATGCTAAATAGATTTTTCTTACCGCAAAATATTGACGCTTGAAGGCAAACGTGACTATAAGCGATAATAACTGCTTTGTACATAAATGATAGCCAATAACCATATTCGATGCGCAAAAAAAATATATTTCTGGGTCTCTTCAAATCATTTCAATCCTAGAGCTACTAGCTAGATTCTACTACGGTTAGATTCGTTAAAATAAATTTTGTTTTCAGGTATTTCAACTTTAAATTAGTCTACTGTAAAGTTCACGCATTGTCGCTTAGTCACGTTTGCCTTTCAAGCGTCGATATATATACAAAGGTAACTCTGTACTTTTATCTCATATCTTTATTTATGTTTGTAAAATATAATATTCATAATATATAACACAATACTTCATTATAAAATGAATAACATTTTTCAACAAATATTTCTACAGTCTAAGGTGTTAATTGAGGATTTTAAAAGTTTTATGTATTTGTTTGCACTTAAAAGGTTTGATCTCTGTTAATCCGAGTTTCAGTTCCAATTTCAAATAGATGCGAACGAAGCCACAAAAATGTAATTTTTTAAAATCCACTAAAAGCATTATTCTGTTTGTAAGATTAACTACATAATTGATAAAATATAACTAAAGTATTTAAATTGAAAAACTGGTAGTACAGAGACAGGTAGTGAGGAACAGTTTTTGTTGTGAAGTTTTTTGTAAACACAT